TTGATCTAATCTACTAAATTCTGGTCAATCACTTTCTTAATTTATATACAATCTTATGATCATATACGGAAATAAGGGTCCCTGCCATGTGAGACGTAAGAATGTATCCATTACAGACCAATCAGTGAAGGCTAAGTTTCTGTCGATCCCTAGCTTCATTTGCATCTACTTGTTCTTACGTAATGCAGTATTTAGGCATGATCAACGTTGATCGATAAATCAATTAACTAGATTTGTACGTATGTTAATACATACGCCTATCGTATTTAGTACATATGAAATTCTTATGAAAATCATCTAGTTTTATATATCGGCTGATACCTGAACTGATGGCTTATTGCTGTGTAATAAAATTTTAGCTTAATAGGAGATTTGCGGTTTAATCACTGAGCCAGGGATGCTGATCCCTTTTAATCATTGATTTATTAAATAATATATCATTAAAAATAACATTTTGCTTAAGATATTTATTATTGAAATCTGATTGAATATGATATTTAGTATCACTATATAATGAATAAATTGTTAAAATTTAATAAGACATTATCAAATTTTCTCATTATAACAAATTGTGACCTTCAAAAATGAGATTCATTATAATAAGATTCAACTGTATACTTCTAATCTTTCAAGAATATTATTATCAGCTAAAAATTCACCATTAGAAAATTGATTACAAAGAATTATCAAATGATTTACAGAAGTTACTAGAATTAATTTTATGTTGATCATGAAATTAAAGAATCTGTATAATTTCTGATCCTTATATTCATTATAAGCCTGATCAGTCTGATTAGCCAAATAAGTCTGATAAGTCATATTTCTGATCTTATTGATATCTTTACCTTGCTGATATTTATTATTCTCATTAGTCTGGAGTGTAATAAAAGACTATATAATTCTATGACCAATGACATAAAATGTTCTATTATCTGTCTGCTCAAAAATTGAGTTGATATATAATTGGTCTTTTTTATTACACATATACTACATATACTTTGGACTAAAGATGGTTCCCATAAGTATTTTTAAAATTTTTAACTAGTTGCAACATTTTATGAATTTTTATATTAAAATAAATTTACAAGGAATTGCAACTTACCAAGTTGCAACTTCTTAATTATGGTGACCATCTTTACTCTGGACTTAACAATGGTTTTTGAAACTATTCCATAATTGTATTTATTATATTTGTTATAATTATTATATTTATTATAATGATATATTTATTATATATTAATTTTATTTATTATTCAAAATTAGTTAATTTATATCATTAGAAATATTAATATAAATTATTATAAATAAGATAGTTCTTTATTAATATAAAAATTAAAACTGTAGTAGTCCCAAAAATATCAATAATTCTAATATTAATAATGAATTAAATTTAATAAAAGAATCAATATTAAACATAAACTTTTTTTTTTATATTCTTTATTTAGGATTTGATGTGATATCCTATACTATGCTATACATTTTAATTCATCAATCATAATTTTAAATATTAATTTTAGTAATATTATTACTATATAAAAAATATAATTTAATATATATTTTATCAACTTTATTAACAAAGATTTTAAGTTTTTTAAAAGGTTTTTAAAAAAACATAATTATAAAATTAAGTATCAAAAAATTTATATATTTATATACTAATTAAATCATTTTATCATTAATTAAAGTCATAATATTTCTTAATAAATTGCTTTTAAGTAAATTTAAATTTTTTAATATATATATTTTATAAAATTAATTTTAAAAAAATCTTTTTAAAATATTAATTATTTATAGTAAAATAAACAGGCAAATTTGTTTGCAAAACCTTATAATCTAAAGGATAGGATGTGAATTCCCTAAAATTAAAAACTCTGCAGAATCTATCTTGCATTGTGGGTGACATTAACCAAGTCTTTGATAAAGAAATAGATTTGATTAATAAAATGAAAGTAAATTGTTATCACGTGAGAGATGAAAGTGAAATTTCTATACACATAGCATATTTACAACATTATTATATTGATTTGTAAATCTTAAAGATCATAAAACTTAAAATTTGAAATTTCTTAGTAAATGTTTTCAGGACTCACGTGAGTAAAGGTTAAAAAACAACTGAATGATCTTTTCCATTTTTTTTGTAAAACTCCAAAATCACAGTCAATTTCTTATAAAATTGATTTTAGCCAATCAGAATTCTTGTCGACCAACCAATGAAATCCTATGCTAAACAAACCATGTCACATGTAAATTAATGCTTTTTGTAATTTTAAAATTTTAATACGAATTCATTTTTCTTAAAAAATTCGAATCATTTTGAAGAATTCAAGAAAGAAAATGGTTAAAAAAAAGAGTGGAAGGATTCTTAATCCCGCAGATGCTCATCGTAAGGCAACCAATATATTTGTTTTATTTTTATTCTTATTTTTCAAGATTCATACAGTCTAATTTGGTTTATATATGTTAAGGTAAGGCGATGCGGCAGAAGGAAATCAAAAAGGTTTATGTTATAATGATGATCTATTTAGTCAAATTATTTTTTTTATATAATCAATCATGAATAATTATTTAATCATATAGAACAAAGCCGAAAGAAGAAGAGTTAGAACACTCGTAATGGTACATAAAGATACTTCAAAGCTTGAAGAAGAGGTAGCACGGTATAGAGCACTTGGTTGGTTATCTTAATTTATAATGATTAAAACGATTATAAATCCATTTGATTTTTAATTTTTTTCTCTAACAAAAATTACCGATTTTATTAGATAGGGAAAAGAGATTGGATAAAAACGGAAAGGCAAAATTAAAAGATTTGGAGGAAAAGCTTAAAAAAATTTTAGAAACAAAAAAGGCATAATATTATAAATTTTATTTGATTTTGTTTGATAGTTGTTTTTAAAAAAGAGTTGAAAATAATTACTTTATTTTAATCTAGGCTCATGGAGTAAATTTACAAAAGTATCCAGTTGGCGATATAATTGCGGCTAATTGATTTACAAATTATTACTTTCATTAAATATTAAATTGTTTATTATGATGATTTTAGAGAGAAAGAGAAGACTACAAAAGAGCATGTTCCCATTTATTTCCATCCAACTTTAAATCCTTCTGGATTACCACCACCTGGCGTTTCAGTTGATGATGAGAAGGAAGGATCTTTCGAAGATGATAGTGGAAGTGAATTCTCAGATTATGATTCTGAAGCTGGTGTGTGATAGCTAAAAAAAATATTTACTTGTATATTCACGTGATTTGATTAATTATTCGATCAATTTATATCAGAAGCTAAGCAGGAATCAGATGAAGATATTCCATTACCTCCAGGCTCACCACCTACGAAAGAATCCGATGATGAACTACCGGAATTACCTCCGGGTCCACCTCCTAATAAAGAAGAAACTGATGATGATGATGATGAGTTACCAGATTTACCACCTGGACCACCGCCAAGATCTAATACAAATATGTCATCATATTCTCCACTCATGGCGATACCATCACATCCTTCGCCATTTGGTTTTAATCATCAAGGTTCACTATTTCCCCCACCACCTGGGACTTTTGTATTTAATCCTCTTGGATCGCCAAGTCATCAAAGACCAAACATGAGGACACCTCCACATCCAACATTTGGACCAGGTATAGTCAATGTTTTATTATTCGAGATGAGCATTGTTTTTTGTACTTTATTAAGTTTGTCTAATATTTCAACCTGTCAGGACCCATTCCATTCTCAAGAGGTCCTCCACTAACAGCATCAATGCATCCAATACAGGGTCAAGGCTATCCCGTGAGACCTTCGGATGCGCCACATCCTAGGCCTCCGCCTTTTAGTTCACAGGTTTCTCATTATGGCCCACCGCCTCAGATACCGGGCGGCAATAACAACATCTCTTCACGATCATTTTCGCCATCAACAATATCAAATAACGCTCAACTTGCGAAAGCCAGTGCAGCAACTGCAACGCCCATCATTCAGGCAGCACCTCAAGTTAGGAACCTTCAAAAAGAACTAACGACCCTTATACCAACTGCTCTACTTAGAAAGAAAGCAGCCGCTAATAAACCTAAAGTAGCAATACCCGTTGTTAATGCTGCACCTAATATTGATGATGGTTTAGTAAACGAATTATCAACCGTTACACCTACCAAAAGGTCTGCATCTACTACAATACATTTATTACAAGAACAAAAACCATCAGAAGTAGATTCCTCACAATCAAACGGGGGAATTATATCAAGTAGTGCGCCACCACCTACAAAGAAAGCAAAGAAGAAGAAAGCTGATGAATATGAGAAGTTTATGGCAGAGATGCAAGATTTATTGTAGAAGTTAGATCTATCTTTTAATATTTAATAAAAAGGACTCTTGATTATTTATAGCTATTTTTTGATATAATCTATTCTTTTAATATTACAAACTTTAATACAAAATTTTTTTTACCGGCCGTTCTATATAGACTTATTTTCTATCTTTTTAATATAATAAATGTTAATACAAAATTTTCGATGCGTTCGATTTAATTAGTTATCTATTAGGCAATTATTCTTAAATTATAGAATTGATTCTAAACTTATGCGCATCAGGCTCTAAATAATAAGGCGAAATATTATAACGAATTTGAATTTTAGAAAGTATTACAATAGGAATGATCAACCGAAGTTTTAATTTATGCGGTATTATATTTCAAGAAAATACTTTAGAAATTTAGAAATTTTTGTAGTATCATCTCTAATTGATAAGATGATGTTGTGATCTAACTATAAGTTTACCGCCTGAACTTCTGAAAATGGATATCTTTCTTGGATCATATTATTCAACGATTTCGGGTTAGATAACGGAAGTATTTTAATAGTTACGAAATAATAAGTCTTTGATATTTTCGTCGGTTAAAAGCAAAAGTATTCTTTTTTCGAAACTTAAAATTTCAAAGTTCTTCAAAATTCCCTCTTATTGAATTCGAAAAGACGGTAATGAAAAATAAAAATAACGTAAGCTTGATATTTATTTTTTCAGATGTTGATAAAGATTTAAGTAAATCAAGTAAATCACGAATTTGTCATTTTACCATCTATTTTCGTTTAAATATTTCAGATTCTCAATTTGTTTATACATCAGTTCTTAAATTATTTTTTTTTGAATTCACAAAGGTTTTTACTATAATTATAAGATAATTTTTTTTTTAGCATTTGAAATCAAATAATTGATAATAATAATTTAAACATCATTGTAACAACTCACAATAATGAAGTCTTTATACTACAAAAATTGTAAATAAAACGCGTAAATCTTTCAATCACTTAATTAACTAGCATGTTTATTTCATTAAAGTGCTTCACACAAATATAAAGCAAAAATTTTATTGTTGTAACCAACATTAAAAACCAAATTAATGGACGATATTATATCTATCTATCATTCAAGAATTTAAAATTGGCCACGGCCAGACGACACAAAATTAGAATTCAAAATTCAATTAGGATGATTGCTAGGAAAATTTAGGTTCCGGGAATTTTTAATAAAAAATTTTTGAGCATTTGTTTTTTGATATTAGATTAAAAACTTTGTCAAAAAATTTTCAGAAACTGAATTAACAAAATCTAACCTTATCTTCGCTCTGAAAAAATGGTACCCGGATTTATTTTATTAGCCTAAATCAACTTAAACTGACCCTAACCCCTAATTCTATATTAATTGCAAATAAGTAAAATACTTAAAAAGAGGAGGGACACCGGCAGGCAAATAAAGCTGACTACCATTTTTTTAGGCGACGCGACGTGTTTTAGACAAATGATGAAACGTCACATGACATAAGATAGGTCGGAGTCGATTTATCACGTCACCGAAATTTAAAGTTTATTACGTCAATTTTATAAATGATGCAAGATTAATAACATATATTAACTAGATATCGGTATTTATAAATTCATGATTCTAGCATAGATCAAAAAATTAAAGAAATTAAAAAGCTAAGTTATTTTACCAAATTTGATAATTTGGTCATGGTCAAACAACCCATTTCGCGCGTGTATTTAATACCTCATCCCAATTATTCAATATTTATGGATTCGGATACTTTACGAAAGGTTCCTACGTGATAATTACAATAAAATACACAGTAACTTTAATAAATAGGAAATTCTTTGAAACTTTGTGAATTTTACTTTCTTTTCATAAAAGATAGTTTTAGTTATGTATGTACACTTACTATGTGCTATTATTGTAAATTTAAAATGAAAACTTAAATATATATTTATACTAAACAATCAACATTACGATGAACCTTGACGATTCAATTTGTGATTTAATGATCATTCTTTATGAATGAAGATGATATTAACTTTATGCATTAATTAATTATGCTATTTCGAATGACCAGTGCAAAAGACTTCTACTAAAAGACGCGCTCTCCCAAAATATCATCTTTCCCAAATTAAAAAAAAATTTTTTTCTTCTTTCTTAGATTTAATTTTAAATTATTATTTTATTTTTGTTCCTTATTCTTTTCTTTTTTTAAAAAAAAGGTAGTTGAAGCATTATTGAAACGATGTTGCTTGAAGATCGGTTGTTACCATTAGCTTGCTATCTAACTTTGATCGTCGTCTGTTTGATTGATCCATATTATCTATTGAAATATCTGGGTCTTTGCTTTGATCGATCGATCAGATTGGACGGCCCGTTTAAATGAATGATTAACTAAGCCACTTGCGGGATCTCGGATCTTGATTACAATCTCCAAAAACATAGAATGAATTAATCCTTCAGAAACAATCATGTCATAATTATACTCACCAATAAACACAATAAAGTTAGTGTTACAAAACAGATCATTTCAAAAAAAGAAAAAGGTAGAATTGGGAGGCTCAGTATTGATATAAAGTGAATTAACCGATTTTCCTGATATTCGTTAACCGGTTTAAATTAACTGTTTTGATGATTAGTTAACAGTAATATCAAGCCACATGCGGGATCTCAAATCTGTCTACAAAACACGGAATGCATCTTTACATCTTATTCTTCAGAATGAAATATCTATAATTCCAATCTGTCTTACAGGAGGAAATATTTCAAATAAGTTAGATCTCCAAGTATTTTTTTATTCACAGTAGTTTAAAAAAAAAAAAAAAAAAAAATTGGTTGGAATAAAGTACGTCAAGAATATATATAACATTGCATGAACTATATTTAGCGAAAATTAAAAATTATGAGATATTTGATTATATATATCAAAGACTCCCCGAGAATATCTTTGGGATTGATTATCTTTGCCACATTTTACAGTTAATGATCGATCTGCGACTTTCCCCTAGAAATATCCGATACAGAACGTAACCTGTTGGTCGGGTTAACCATTTTTAACAGTTGACCGGGTTCCTAAAGCCACATGTGGATCTCGGGATATCTCCAAAACACGGATTACGTCTTATCCTTCAGAGCCCATCCGTCATCTGACTAATTTCTGGATTCTGTAGTGATCGATCAATTGCACTTTGAAATCTTTGTTTTACATCTTACGGTAAGAAGTGTACAGAAAACGTCCGAAAACGTCAGACCATTTGGAAAATGTCTGAAAAAAACATAAAAACGTGTCAAAACCTGCAGCAACTCATGTTAAGGTGTGGTTAGGTTTTGCCACTTTGTTAGGATGATTTCCAGATTACCTGACGCTTTGGGTATCATTTCTCAGAGAACTTGAATCCAAAAAAAAAATCAAGAGAATTAATTGATCCGACATATGATTTATAAATAAAAATTTTCATTTATGGATATGCTTGTACAGTATTTTTCATTCACTTCATTGGGATAAATTATACATCCGATGTATTGCGTTGCTCAACTTCATCATTCTGGATTATATTCAATCAAAAACGCTGATTACTGATTACGATTGTTTATTTTGATGTTGGAACGCAATCAACTTTTACCGGTTTGAAGCTGTGAGGCCATGTTCCATTGAATTATGACGAAAATGCGATAAACGTTTATGAGTCAAATAACAATCTTTCAGCAAAGAATCAAAAATATCAAGATTGAATTTCTATTGTTTAGATTTATTTATTTGTTTATTTATTTTTTGAAATTCGAAGTAATATGTTAAATAATAAATAAATGAGAAATTTTTATTAAAAATAAAATAAGAATCAATACATCAATTTTATTTATAAATTGATCTCAATATATACCGCAAAGTTTTTATGTATTGGTAATGACGATATTAAAAATAAATGAATCCTAATTTTATTGCAAGATAAAAAAATATAAATTTATACATATTATAACCGCCAAATAACCATCATTACCTTATTTTTTCTTTTTGTTATCTTTTTTAAATATTTTGTAGATACTCTTGTCGTCTTGTATTGCTAAATGTAGTAATTTACTTACTATATTTCTTGTTAAACTTATTGTAGAAGAAATTAATGAAAGTAATGGAATAACACCATAATTTACGGTCCTAAGCATATAAAGAATCTAAACGTACGGGGAGGAAAGAAGGTTATTAGTAACCCTCCAAAGAATTCTTTTTTTTTTTTTTTTTTTTTATAAAGAGAGATAAACTTACTTGAATTATTAATTGAGGAATATCTTCAACGAAAATATTTACAAAAGCACCCATAACCATGTATGTTTCAGATTCCTTTGAAAAAGGAGCTTTGTATTGTATGGGAAGATCATCTAAGATTAAAACAGTCATAACTTCAACATCGGCACAAGATAAGGTAATTATCGCACTTGCTATTGCCATATTATTTTTAATCCAATCTTTCAAATTTTGATCTTTAAGATCTTTATTTTCTACAGGTTGCATCAGTCCAGTCGCTTCATTAGGAGTTACAGAAGTTTCAGTGGGTTGTTTTGCAGCTTCATTTTCGTTTCTTCTTTTTACATCGAATTTTGCAGCTTCTTTTTCTTTTCCTTTTTCTGCATCATCTTCATCTTTAAGTTTTTTTTCTGTATCTTCACTTTGTTGTTTAATCTCCTTTGATATAATAAGGTAAGAAAAAAATCCGTTAAGCGCAAATGGCACTAATGTAAAAATAATGCTGTTTCGGAAAAAAATTTAAAGGTTAGAAAAAATGAATTCGAATAAATTATAAAGGTAAAATCATCATCATACCTTGGAATAAAAAGGGATCGAACGTTTCTGGAGTTTTTAATCATGAAAACAACATCAATGATAAGATCGAAAATACAGACGCCAAGTTTGAAACTAATTGTTAATCCAAGTTTTAACTTAGACATCCACTAAATTAATATATAAGATATATATAAAAATATATACATATATTTTGTTTTTAAAAGGAAAAAATCATTAATATAATCAATAAATAAAATTAAAAGTTGAGGACGTAGTTTCATACCTTACCTGCTGTTTCGCTTCATCTACTTCTTCATTGTTATCATTTTCTTTTCGAGTGAAAAAGAAGAATGAAGGACCAACGACCAACCCAACCAAAAACACACTTAATAATCCATATTTATATTTTTCCCATAAATTTGCTATTGTTGTCGAACGAAATAGAAAAAAAAGAAAAAATTTTAAGATTTTTTTTTAAAAAAAAAAAGAGCCAGCATTCGCAATAGGTTTACTTACTTGTAATCTCAATGTCAAAAGTATCGTCCAAATAATTGGTAAATTTTCCTGTACTAATTGGAGTGTATTTTTTATTTTTAACCAACATACGAATATCCTTGAAAACAGTTCCAACCATTTGTCCAGAATCTACATGTTTAATCACAACAGAGATTAAATATAGATGAGAATAATTCTCCACATTAGAAACAATCTCAACGTTCTTGGTTGATTCAAGACGTTTGCTATCTATAGGAACAGCATCGGCCAATTCTTTTATCAAAGAATCGAAAAAAATCATTCTGTTTCCAGTAGAATAATATTCATCGTAGGCTCTTGTACCATCATCAGTTAGACGAAGCTGAATAGCGAGTGTAGGATAAAAAAGTACTTCACCGTCAATTCTTTCGTTTGGTTTAACTTTCCAAATTTCTTCCTTTATGCCCAATAAAGGTTCTCTATAAGCTTTACTTTTAACAAAATTATTATCCATTTTGATAAAATAATCCTCGTTCGGTACACTAAAAGTACAATTGTATATAAATACGACCACCGTTTTACTATCGCTTGTCAACGAACAATCTCTGCTAGGAATTACTTGACGTAATGATGATTGACCGGATTCCTCCATTTTATGAATTTCAATTTGGCCATCGGATAATTCTACCGGATCATAAAAATTGATCTCAATACTTTTTCCTGGAATAAACGATTCATCAATCATTGGTGAACTTGATTCAATGTTTGGATTAGAATAATTATCATTTCTATCAATTATTTTAGGCAACTCGATCATCGTGAATGACCAGCTATTGTCATTTTCAATTTCAAGATCCGACATCATCAAAGTATTATTTGGTAATACCAAAAAAAGGCCATTTGCATTAGCCAGATGAGGTTCCTCCAGGCTCCATGCTCTCACCGATTCCGTATCATTATTAAGTATATAACCATAAATTAGATTCCCCTTACCACCATTGGGGTCAGGATTGGAATTTGTTAACAGAAATCCACCAAATGGTAAACTTACTACTTTCCATTCCTCGTTAAAAGTCGCGCCCTCAGGAATTACATAATTTATATTTGTAAAGGAAAAAACTGAACCGGAAGATAAGAAAGCGATTTTGGAAACAAACCTAAGGTTGTCTGGATTCCTTACGGTTAATAAACATACTTGACCAACTCCGACGCTTGCAATATTACAAAATAATGATTCAATAATTAAATTTGGTATAGGTGTTTGATAAAGTAATAAAGGTTCGATTTGCGTTTCATTATATCTTATTGGTATAGCGAAGACTTGACATTGTGGTATCATCATTGTTGAGTTATCAACAGGTATCTGGGGTGAGAACAATCCAGTCGTATTCGCAAATACCATGGCATAACCCTCATCAACCGTTGAAATAACGTCAACAGATAAACTTGAATAATCGACAAATTCAAGCGTTCCATTAGTTAATGTTGTTGTTGTTATCTTTCCGTCAGAATCTACTTGAAATTGTTGCCATTGCGCATTTGCTGAACCTTTAATGGCAGAAAGTCTGATAAATCCTTTCTCTCGATTAACATTTAATGTTATTAAAGTATTTTTCTTAAGGATGTTATCGGCTACAAATGAGATCCCAAATCGGATTCTATCTAAAGTTTTGCCATCAAAGTCAATAATTATACCCCAATCTTCATACGTATCAAAATCACTGCTATTTATTGCGTCATAGTAAGTGACTAAAATATAATTCTTTCCAATCAGATAATATTCTATTAATTCCAAATTTTTACCATTTGTAACATCAAAGCGTGAGCAATAATTAAATAACGGAATTTCTAAATCAAGGTCTTTCTCAACAACCGTCCCATTACGATAAATTATTCTTAAAGAAAACTTTTCATCCGTACAAATACCTATAGTTTCATCAATTCTAGGAATATCTTTTATTCTAATGATTCTCAATACTACTGTACCATTATCGTACATTTTCTTTTCCCATGCACGAGAAGTATTAAGAGTTCCTTCATAATTCTTTGTTTCATTATGATAAAATTTTTGTAATAATTGTGCTGTTGTATATAAAGCATACAATGATATGATGGCAAAAATAATTAAATTTATTTTGAATTTTGTTCGCATATTTTTTTTTTTTTTTTCTTTGTGTGTAATGTTATGGAAGTTGCGCGTGTGGTAGAAGTATAATGCAACTTGGTGAGAAAAAAAAAATTTTTTTTCATTGACATTCATTTTTTAATTAACCGGGATCTGCAATCCTTAACGCCCCACACCGGGACATTTACTTTTGAGGAACAATGTTCGGAAGCATTCTTTTTAAGAACGACGCCATCAGACAGTTACCTTAAAAAGAATTTTTAAAAGCTCGAAAAATTTACTTTCAAAGAAATATCACCCACGAGAAGTTTATTTTTCTCACAGCACAAACTATTTTTCCAAATTAAACAAATATATAAATAAATATATAAAAATATATCTATTCAAAAAATTCATATTGTTGTTTTATAAGATTGTTTCTTGTTTTACAATAATAATATAAAAAAAAAAATGAAATATGTCGGAAACATGTGAAATTGGATTGAACCGGTTTTATTTGATCGGTAAAATATTTCATTAAACAAACAGCCACATTGGTTACAGGTTTCAATGAAACTCGGGGCTGTGTTAAAAGAAAGTTTGTACTCCTTCTATAAGATACATCAATATAAAAAGGTGTTTTTTTTCCTAACATCCAAGTCATCCTTATCTCAAATTAAAATTATAATCCTTCAAAAAGAAAAAAAAAAAAATAATTATTATTATTAACGAAATAAATATGAAACAATTCATAAACTTAACTTTATTTTTCGTCCTCATTGCTGTCGCGGCAGCATTGCAAACTGGTGAACAATCGTTCGCTCACGGATCAAACGTTTTGGAAAAAAGAACGGACACTAAAAAGTGCCCGTGCTCTTTCGCTGGATCTATTTTTGATCCGTTTGTAAAGGATGCCTCGTCAGGTTATGCCAGAGGTTTTGTTAGTTATGCTCAAGATGAACAAGGTTGCACCATCATTTCTGGACAATTCAGCAAAGGGTTCGAAGATCATAACGGTACCTTTCTTTTAGTCGATGCTTGTGATAACCTCCTTTTTGATATCTCAAAAGAATTAGATGTGAAATTCACCGAGGATGGTGGAACTCAAACCTTCAGCTATAAGTTTGATTATATTAATTTAGATTGTGATAGCAATGGTTTGCTTGTGGTAGAATGTAAAGTCAAATCTTATTATAGAAAACGTCAAAGTAGAAGTGGTTCTTCAATGAAAGCTGGTAGTAGTTCTACTGCCTCGGTTAGAAGGTTGCCTTAATATGCATAAAAATATGATTTCATAATTTGTAATTTCTTTTTTATTCCCATGATGAATGAACAACTGTAATTACTTTTTATTGATTGTTTCAGATTAGAAAATGTTTGGAAATTATAAATTAGAATTATCCTGTTTCTACATGTATATTTTCCTTTATTGTAAATTTTAAATTACTTTTTTTTAATAAAAATATCATTTGATCGTCAATTTCTCAATTGCGGATTTTGAACGACGCGCTCAACTTGTTTTTTCAGATAATTTGGATTTTCAGATTTGCGAAAATCGAATCATTAAATTAAAATTTATGTAGTAATCTGCAAAAAAAAATTATTTATTATTGATATTGTCGATCTTATCTCCATTGTTTCACAGAGTTGAATCGATAGAAATGCGCCAATCATAATTTACACAAAAGAATACTTCTGATGAAAAGAAACGGCGAGAAAAGACGCCGTTTCTATCATTTGTTGCTAAAAACATTATATTGATAGACGACGATTAAATGGTGGTAAGTAATTTTTTCCATAATTTAGTTATACTGCCTTTTTAAGAGAAGATAGGAAGGTTTAAATTTTTGATAGCAGAGTTATATTTCGAAATAGAAAAAGTTATGAAATCTAAGTAACCTTTATTTTACTTTTTAGAAATTTTTTTTTTGTTTCGTATTTTCGTATTGTAACGAATGTTCTTTTAATTAAATTAATTTATCAATTACAAAGAAATCGGTCTTACTAAATTCACTAAAGATGATTTTCTGCAAAAATTTCTTTTGGATTCAAAGCTAATACAAAACGCGGATTTTTTAATTTAAAAAAAAAGTTATTTTAATGAACTAGTGACGTCATTGTACATATTTTAACATTTTATTCAAAGTGTTTAGAAATTAATAACACTCTTAGACAAAATTCACAAGTTTGGAAGAAAGGACGAGACTGCTATTATAGTTTCTTTCTTTTTGTACTGGATATTGTAAGTTAATTCTATATATAATACTCAAAAATTTATCAAAAAAGTAAAAAAAAGTTACGATTCATTTTATAATAGTCACATCCCTTTTAACCCTCCCTCCTAAACCTTGTGTTTATTGTTGAATTATTATTCAATCATTTAATTTCATCAGCAAACAACAAAAATCTCGTATTGTAAAACCTCGTCATTAAATTAGGTGTTTTCTAAATATAAGAATTAAAAATAATAATTAATGAACATTTTAACTTTAGAAACAATGAAAAAAGTGCAAATTAATGGTATATTATCTATTTTAACAAAGAGGATATTTTAAATAATAAAAAACTATGCATTGATTATTTTTAAAAATCTTTCTAAAAAAAAAAAAAATTAAATAATTACAAGACGTTTATAGATAAGCATTCAGATGCTCTTGTGAGTCGACATGTTTTATTATTATGTTACGCAAATTGCAGTACATGTACATGTGCATAATGTCCTGCGATTCGATTCCTGATAATGTAAAAAAGCGTAACGAATAAATGATTTTTTTTTTTGTAAAATGCATGTATCATGTTTGAAGGTCACACAATTATATCATGCATGCAGATTTTCTATCTTTCTACCTAAATTAACCATTTGATACAAAATATATTTTAAAAAAAAATAAAATTGTTAAAAATAGTATTGTTAGATTACAAGGATTTTTTAAGTGACTATGGAATCTATCTATCATCACTTTATATCCTTTTTTTTCTCTCAACAATATTAATAAACGGTCATTATAATCCTGAAAACGGTTTGTCATGGAACCTGTTATGAAAGTGGCTCTTTTCGGGGTCGCTGGAAATGGCAAGTCTTCTATTGGTAATATGTTAATTAATGGTGATATGTCGGGGCCTTTCCCGGTTAATGATGGTGAAGTTGAGGTAAGAATAGATGGGAATATGATGGTTGCTTTCTCAGAAATTTATAAAGTAATCGACATGTCCGGAGTAGGTCAATTGAATTTAAGCGATAATTCACGTGAGGAGTTCGTCGAATCGATTCGAAATTGTTTCTCAAATCAACATTTACTTCTCAACTTTATATGTTACGTAACGAAAGAAACAAAATCTTATTTAGAAGAAGAAATGAAAATGTTTTCATTATTTAAAAAAGCTTTTAAAGGGGGTGAAAGAAATTTTGTCATCATCTTTACCAATAGTTCACAAGAATGGGTTAACAAGAATAGGGATGTATTAGAGGGTGCTTTTGGAATTCATCCAATGATTGGGGTCGACTTTCCCTTTAATAATAGTTATGATACTCGTGAGCAACAAGTACAAAGAGCGAAAAGTCTAGAGCAATTAAACAGTCAATTTTTGAATTTAAGACTTTCATGTAATGATTTTCGGATTAACAACTCATTCGAGACAAAAGAGGAAAAATTTGCAGAAGCTGTCACCATATTACCATTGTTAGGCACTGTATATAGGTTGTTCTCTGCTGGTATTTATTATATGGCAGGGAAACCAGAAACATCAAAAGAGAGACTTCCAGAAGGATCTGTTAAAGGAATTGTAAAGCTGAGTTTGGAGTTGTTGATGATCATCTATTTCAAAAGGAACAAATGCCTTGAAACAACACAATAAATTATTGTTTCCAAATGAAATTAAAATCACAAAATATAAATATTAATATACTACTATTTGAAATTGTACAATATTTGCGAAACATATGTAAGAAATTTTAAAAAAAATGTTTTAAGGCAAATAGTTTTTGTGACATTTATTTGATTATATGATTAATGATAATATTTTTTTTTTTTTTAAAAAAAAAGATTTTTTTTTATTATTAGAATAAAAATTCTTAAGCTAAAATCGAATTAATTTAAGTAAAATGATCATGAATTCTTAATTGTCTAAATCAATTGTATCTTTAATAAAATTTATTTTAGCATAAAAAATTTAGATAACTATCCAAGTAATTTTTCAAACAATATGTTTGCTCTTTTTTCATGCTCTATTTGTTTACATGCAGTTTTTTATCTCGCTTTTTGTCTCCAAGTTCCATTAAATTCGAAGAATTATAACCAATTTCAGTAAGTGGAATCGTCACTTGTATGTTTTGAGATTTCATTTATTGGAGATGATCTATTTTAACTGTTGATTTAACAAATTTAAATCAGATAATGCTAGGTATTTAAATTTTTTCAGCAAGATGAAAATTGCTTAGTTTCATCAAAATTTTACACAGTTAAACTTAAAAATGCTTAACAATTAAAGTTATGGTCAAAAGTCAACAAAATTTCCGTTGTTTTAATACAATAATTACCTTTTTTGCGTTAGTTTACAATTTGCTATAATTATTGTACCACTTTTGTTTAAGATTTTTTAAATTGTAAATTATAATTCAATGATCGTGCGACATGCCGAATTTATTTAACATAAAGAACTAGTCTTTTTTTAAATTTTATTTTATTTTATTTATAGTTTTCTTTGGGCACTAAAAAAAATAAAATTTCTTGATTATTTTTTAACGAATTACACTAGTTTTTTTTTTGATAAAATCATCACCATTTTGTATACCCTCCACCAGCCTTAAATACACCCTTAACTCTTTGTTTCGGGTCATTATCCTGTTTGGAAAATGACATCATTTCAAATCACATGCGCTAGGAACTCATCTCCCAAAATCTCACTATATACAGTGACGACCATAATTAATGCAACTGTTATCTCCTATTTGCATAAGAGAGGTAATTAAATATAGTTTTATAGTTTAATTTTATGTAACAGCGATGTAACGAAAATAGCATGTATATCGAATTTAAAGAAATAAATAATAAAGTTTTTAACTGAAATAAAGAAATAAGTTTTATTTAATAAATGATAAATAAATACATAAAATTCAGCTATTACTGTCTCTGCCGGCGTTCTGTAATAGGCCCAAAGAGAAAAGAACTATCAATTCAAAATAATGTTCAAATTCTATCGTTGACTAAGCCCATGGCTTTGCTACGGCATTCTTTAGAAATATCAGGAGGCTTGCGGCTTGGATGACGGAAATGCCAATTAATTGATCCCTGATGTCAAATGGTCATTTTGACATATTTCTTCCATCTTGCCAAGGAATCGTATTGTCCAAAAGGTCTGAAAAGTCAATTCTAACAGATCTGACTGAATTGATATATATTGCGGTGATCAAATTTTGGCGCGGTCAAAACCTGATACAACAAAAAAAATAAAATTCTTTAAATTAAAATATCTTTCTCAATTCGTGAGATATCCCTCCTTCTTTTAAAAATTTTATTTGTTAATAGCATTAATTTTAGTATTAAATTTTTAATATTCCAGTTTCAAAAATAATTATATAAGTAGTAAAATTACATATTGCTTTATTTTTTGATTGTTTTTTATATGAATCAGATGATCATTATTATGCTAATGGTTTGAAATCACACTTTAGAAAATTCAACAAGAATAGGTTGTCTACCTACTGTAAATAAACTAACACAAAGACAGATTGTTAACTTTATTACTTCTTGAAGGTATTCATCAGCTATTAAAGTACAAAACTGATTATAAGAACAAGAAAATCTTGACTTTTTAACACCTATTATTTAAGTGCTTCAAAATAATAGATTAGTATCAAGAATTAAAAGAAAATGCAAAAAAAAAATATAAAAATGTCAATATAATTTTGCAAAAAATAATGAAAATTAGACTATTGAGAACTGGTCAAAGATAATATAGTTAGATAAATCAAAATTTAAGATTTTAGTTCTGATAAAAAGTAGTATTACTAGAAGTATCCTAAAAAACTAATAAAAGATTACCATATTAAACCAATAGTAAAATTTGAAGGCATTCAATATCTCGTAATATTGATTGCTATTATAAGATTAATAGCATAATAAATGCTAAATTATACTAAAAAATTCTTTATAATAATTTAATAAACATATGATTTTAATGTTAAAAATATTATTATATTATTTTTAATATAATAAAAATCTAAAACATATAGCAAATTCAATAACAGTTGTTTAAAATAAATAAGATAATAGTTCTAAATTAGCTATTCTAATCTTTAAATTTAAATTCTTTTGAACATTTTAAAATAAGATTGATTGTTATGTTAAATAACTTTCTAAATAAATTTCAAGTAGAGAGGATTTATGAAATAAGATAAAACAGGTTTAAAAAGGAATTAATTTTAAAACCTATACTAATCTAATTCAGTTTATACTAAAAAGGATTTATAATATTATCAAGACTCAAAGAGAAAATATAAGATGGTAATTATATTAAATTTCAAAGATATAAATAAAAAAGAATATTTAATTCGTAATTTAATAATCATATGTAGTATTTTTATATTTAATTTTTGGAAGTCTTTTTACTATTATACTGTATATAGAAATAATCATTACATACTAAATATAATGTACTAATAAAACTTTTTTTAAAATAATACAAATTTGTTAAAAATTATAAATGCTAAAAATAAAAATGTGTTTCATAAATAATTAAAAAATATTTTATTTTTTATATGTTCATTTTTGTATTTTACTATAGCTTCTATATATTTTAGCAATATTACTATTAATAAGTTTTAACTATTTCACTCTATAAATATTTTAAAATAACTTTATTGTATTTTTATAAATTTTTAATAATTTTTTTACATAAAAAATTATATATTTCAAAATATATTTATTATACTTATTTTATTTAAAGTTCTTATTATATAATTAATATGAGTATTATTACTAATTTTATTCTTATACTCTAAGACTAGCTATCATTTTATATTTGCAAGTTGTAGAATATCTATTAATTCAGTTTTCAATTATTTCTATTCTTGATATTATTTTAGAATCCAACTCTTCACTTTCTGCTATATAAATAAGTTTAAATAACATATCATTAACTGAATATCAGTTACTTTTATCAATATTGCTTATATGAAAAAAACCTTATAATAATAAAATAATTTTCTTTGATATACTTATTATACATAAAGTCGAAATAGATGATTTCGGATATCTGAAATAGTCAAAATAGTAAAATCATTTCTAATATTGGAGGTGAAAAGTTGAAATGGTTGAAATGACATCATATCACATGATTTTTATATAGAAAAAATAAAAAAAAGATATACAAACTTAGTCAGTATCACTCTGATTCGTATAAAACAACTACCATTCAATTTCTCATAACTCGACGAATCCAATAAGCTAACATTAATTGATTTCAGATCATCCAATCTTGAGATAATCGCAATTGTATTATCAGCCAAAATTATGAATCAATAAATTCTATTTTAAATAAAGAAGTCTAGATTTTGAAACACGATTGCAAATATCTTGAGATAAAATGATTCAAAATCAATAAATTTTAGCTCATTGGATTCGTCTAGTCACAAAGAATCTAATGGTAGTTATTTTATATGAATCGAAGTGATATTAATTGAAATCATACATCTTTTGTTTTTTTTATATATAAAAATCATATGATATGACGTCATTTCAACTATTTTGACTTTTCATTTTGACTTTTGGGTTTTTATTTCAACTTCATGTATAATTCTTATGCTATCTCTTTTTCTAAACTTCTAATTTGTTTTAAACATCTATCCAAATGTAAGTTAAAATTCTTTATTAATATTATAAAAAATATTAGTATAATTATTAAGCTAAGATTTCTTATATAAATTTATTTCTGTATTTATAATTTGCTCATTAGATATATCTATTTGTATATACTTAGAATTTATATTTAAAAATCTAAAAATTAATAATTTAGTAATTATTATTTATGGAATAAAAAAAAATTGAAAATAAATTAGTAGAATTTAATATAGATATATTCTATAAAGATTTAGTATAGAAGGTGTAAAAAATATGGACACTGATATATGTATTCAGAGAACTTTTCAACATTAGTGCTAGCCTATTCTAAATTATGATACAATTTGGCTTTCTTTCTATTGGATCTTTTCTCAAAATTTGAATATATCCCTAACAAGTCATTGTATTTATTAGTAAATCCAGAAACAGATTTACTACTAATGCGCAATGCTTTCTCAAGCTCTATTTCACAGATACTACCAAGATGATAACCTGAACTAAAATCTTTCATAATATGCATATTGTTCATAATCTACCTTTTGTATACTTGCAATCAGAAAAAAAAATAGAATCACATAATTGATTAAAAGATTTATATTAGAAAGATTTAATAAATTGAATATATATCAAAGAAATATTATCGAGCAGAAGCTACATATTTTACTCCTAAATCACTGGAAGAAATTTGTAATTCCTATAAAAAGATTTTTTTTTCTCATAAATTTAAAAAAAGAAATCTATCTGGATAGACCATTTTTTGTAGATGCATAATATCAAAGAGTAACAATTTTAATTGAAATAAAGAGATTGAAAGCATATATATATGACTTATAAGGTTCCTCAAAATCGAATCGAATCAAATATTTAAGCAATTTAAATTTGATTTGATTTTTTAAAATTGAATTGAATTGAATCGAATTGGACTCAAATATTTGATCGAATCAATTTGAATCAATTTGAATTTGATTGAATCGAATCAAATTGAATCAAATATTTGTCAAATCAAATCAAATCAA